AATGAGACCCTTATGAAGAGGTTAATTGGTGAGGCCATTTTATGAAACATAACTGCAATTATATATGTCTTATAAAAGGAGGAAATGTACTGAAGCAATTATGCTTCATAGCATACTGTCGCATTGCTCATTTTCATTTTTTACACATAATTATTTCCATCATGTAAAAACATGCATGACCAATTCTTAGCATGTTTTCCTTAAGACTGACACACTTTTTTCACACCAAAGCACATCAACATCATATGTGTGAATGTGTTACGGATTCGTAGCAATCTTTCCATTCAACCTTTCTTGGATTCTACACCCCCCCAAAAAAAAAGAAATGACAGGATCTATTTCACATGTCTATTAAAGAGCTGACATTTACATGTTTGTCTTCAGGCTCTAGCATTAGGCCAGCACTGATGCAGCTTAATTTCCTCTGTCAAGATGCCATGGTGCCTACGAGCGATTCTGGCGTGTGGCGTCTCTGTTCCGCTTCATACCCTCACACCTGAGGCATTGCAGTCCCTTCAAGCGTATCAAGGACCATTTCACAGCCCACAAAAATCCAAGCCAGACCTATTTTTAGTATAGAATAGTATCAAAGTTATTTATTATGATGACTCTCTTTGTATAGTCAAAATAATAATAATAATAATAATAATAATATTTGTGAGGCACACAATCACATTTGACCTCAGAAGTGTATGAGGACATTTCCAGTATAATGCATGCTTAGATGCTTAGAAAACCAAGGTCAGGTGAAAGCGAGACTGAAAGCTGATTAAACAAGCAGAGCAAAAATTGAGAAAATTATTCTGTCAAACAAATAGAAGAACACATTTGTTGTTGTTGTTGTTGTTTTTTATTTCTTTCCCCCCACAATTTCCTTTAGATGATTTCCTTTAGATGATTCTGATATCAGAATTTTTTGCATATCATTGTACATTTTGTAGAGAAAGATACAAAAGAATTTGACAATAATTGACACCCAAATATATATTAAAGAAATTGTGCCATCCAGAACAATTGACTAAATACCAAACTAAAATCATTATTTTAATTATTATCATTTTTTTAAAGATTTATTATTATCTTTTTTTTACTATATTATTATTTTACTTTATTATTATTAATATATTTTTATAAGGGTGAATTTAAAGTGAAACTAGTGTTCTGTACCTTTATATAAGATTGGGAATAGTTCTGCGGGATAAGAGACCCACGATTGAAATGGTGCGAGATAATTATTGGGAGGAGAGACAGAGAGAGGGAGAAATAGCACAAGGTAATATGTTGTGGCTGATTTTTGATGCTTACCCTGTATGTTTAATAAATGACGGGTTAATACCTGCCGATGGATCTCTGTGTGTTCTTGCCATTTAGCCGAAGATCTTACGAGACTGTGTGTGGTGTGAACTGGAAAGTTTACATACAAAGACCAACAGGCGTAACATTATTATTGTATTTATTATTATTATTATAACAGGGCTTTGGTTCCCCCACAGTCCAAAGACATGCTATAGGTGAATTGAGAGCTAAATTGTCCGTAGTATGTGTGTATGTGTGTGTGTGTGTGTGTGTTAATGAATGTGTATGGATGTTTCCCAGCACTGGGTTGCGACTGGAAGAGCATCCGCTGTGTAAAACATGCTGAATAAGTTGGCGGTTCATTCTGCTGTGGTTACCCCTGATGAATAAAGGGGCTCAGCCGGAAGAAAATGAAAGAACCAGCTTTACTGCCAAAACACACATGGAAATTGCCTTAATCATCTAGCCATGATGTCGAGTAAACATTTTATTCATCAACATTTTACTGGGAGTAAATGTGGATTATTCAGGAAAGTGCTGGTCTTGGTAAGTCTTGGTCTCAAGCTTTTCAAATCTTGGTCTGGCTGTGTTCAAAATCGCATTTACTTATTTACAAATTTATTAATAGTGCATGGAAGTTGAGTGCGCTGCATTGGCAGGAGTGAACCAAATAACACTTAGATGCTGATACTCTGCTTTGAAAAGGGAAAGCCTCAGACAAGCTGACATAATGACTAAAAGATTTAGACAACATTTTATATTTTATTCACATTCATTAAAAATGTGCATATACTATGATGAAAACACATTTACCGAATATATTCCGGCATGTACACGAAAATACTGTTTAACAGATCATGAGTTACAAAAATGGGTATGATGTTTTGGTCATTCTAAAAGCCTGTCTGTCGTAAAAGTGGTTCGGCATTATAACCTGCCAGAGCTGTATTGATGGGCTGAGTGGTCACTGAAAGAGTGATCTCGTGCCTCAGAAAGCCAAATGCATTCAATGCATTTTCCCTTCATCTTTTAAGGTGCAAGTAATTTATCATATAATAAAAAAGGCCCACATTGGTTTCTCCAAACACAGCAAATTCCAATCATAAGACCATGAGAACTGAATATAGCTGGGTATAAACAGTAACGAGGAGCAAACAATTAACGAAACAAGAAAATAAGGGAACAAGGGGAAGGAGCCAGGCAACAAATGAACTAATAAGGGCAACTGAGGTTGCAGGGTAAAAATATGAACACAGACAAGGACTGTTACACATAGCTAGTGAAATGGTGTCCAAGCTGTTTATTTTTTTCTTATATAATGAAGGCAAATAGTTAAAACACAGATTCTTATTCCATTTTCATGGTATGGAAGAAAAATTAATTATGCAAAATATTTGGAAGAAAAATGAACAGCCTTAATGCATTAACATTAAAGTGTGTGTGTGTGTGTGTGTGTGTGTGTGTGTTTAGTAAATTAACCCGTGTGTTAATTACAAAAGAATGAAAAAAGTAGCATTTTTTTAACCAGAATCAGAACAGCTGATAACTACCAAATATCTCTTTAAATTGTCCAAAAAACTCAAAATAAATTTGAGACGTTGACAATCATATTTATGTCCCACATTGCTAAAAAAAAAAAAAAAAAAAAAAACACTTTTACGACACATATATTTTACTAAAAAGTGAAAATTGGTTGTTTTTGCGTTGTTCCTTTTTTGCAAATTCATTCTTCCGGTAAAAAAAAAAAAAGCATCATGGCGACGAGATCATTATTATTGTTATTGAGTTTTCAGCACGTCTGTTCATTAATCCATGATAAAGACTTGGTTTGAAACAATCAGTGCACTTTATTGTGAACAATATGCAACCTCATTAATATGCATGGTAAAGATTCGAAGACTGCTTTTACCGGTTGCAGTGTTCAGAGAGACGCCACTTGTGTTGCCAACCAAAATTAAAACAAGTAGAGCAAGAAGAATTGTTCTGAGACATGGGATGTGAGTGTTGCATTTAGAAATGTGCTGCAACTAAGGTTTTGCTTCCATTTCCTCACGATGAGAGCACTGATCACGTGTGGACCCACATGTGTGCTAACACGCAACACAAATATGTTTCTAAGGATTTTCTTTTTTTTCACCCAAATCTGATAATGGAAAAAAAAATTGCGGTTCCAGTTTGTGTTGATTGTCCTGTCCTGGTAAGTGTGCAATCAATGTTCTTTGTTTATGTTTATTCAGATGGCAAAGTTAGTTAGTATCGTCAGCAGTACTTGTTTTGTTTTTAAAGACATACATTTAGTCAAAATGATTTAGTTTTTAAGTTCACAATAAAATCACTACAATATTATGAGCTGAAAATCTTCCACACGGCTCTCAGATCACCTGTAAAGGCTGCTCTTTGAATCACTGTCTATCTCCACTGCATCTGTGTTTGAGTTGCCGCTGTGAAAATCAGTGCGCATATAATTACACTCCCCTTTTCATGCAAACCCTTCCCTCTTTCGCCACTTGACACTCCCACCTAAACAAAGCTGGACTCACCCACTTTCCTGATTTTCTTTAAACTGGAGAAATGCCACCTTTTATGTAAACAAAAGACAAATAATTTGCAGAGGCTGTGGCTTGAAGGGTATCCATTTTAGTATTCCCTGTATGTGTTATGTTTACTCTTAAGTTCTAGTAGCTGTTGACTTGCATTTAAATCATCATGGACAATGGTTTCAGCTTAAAACCCTCTTAAATCTTCTATTAAAAAAAAAGTCAACAGCATTTTGGATATCCCGAGAATCAATAAATGAATAGTAAACTTTCATTTTCAGGTGAACTACCAATTTCAGTGGCAATAACATAGAATGGCAAATCATTATTATTTTATTTTCTATTAGAATGGCAGTTTAAAAAAATGATTCAGTGCTTCAAGGGGTTGTACAAGTGGCTGCTGCTACTTTTCAAAAGGGCAGCCTAACTGTATTTAAGCCCTTACAAAACTTCAAATCTTTCAAAGCTGAAAGCTAATCATATTTTAAAGTAGTTTTAACAGGCATCTTCTCCCCCTCTTATCTCAGAACAACATAAACATTTTTAAGGGTCTGTAACTTCAACAAGGCTACGGTCGCTTACAATAATTCAATATCTAAAGTAGTGAGCTTTCATAAAGAATTGCAGTTTTATATTAATAATTCCCCATATTCAACCCAACACAGGGTTTGTTTAAAATAAACAGCATCTTCCTTTGTACTTTTCTCCTTTTCTAAGTTATAATAAGCTTTTATTTATAAGAAGAGGTTTCTTTGTATTTGATTTCACAAAATGTGGTTTGAAGCCAAATAGGTCAATTTGTGAGTGAGAATAATCTCTGGAGCACACTGAGTGTATTCACAGCCCCTTAATCTGTCAGCGCTGATTACGCAACGCAGGCATTGTTGATCTAATCATATAACTTTATGCTCTGATTTATTGTGTAACATAGAGTGAAAAGAATTAGAATGAAATGTACAAACAAACAAACAAAAATAATGGGACTCCATAAAGAAGTGAAAACCTAAACGCAATTCCTTATGTTGTGCCCTATAAAAAGTTGGTTTCAAACACCCAAAGCAATATATGTAATTATAACACAATAGACATCTTGTTGTTTACCCTGTCCGTAAATTTAGCACAATTAAATTGAAACCTTTGCTGAGAAAATTACCTTAAATGAGATTGTGAGAGCAGGTTTCATTTTATTCACCCCCTCTGCTTCTCATTCTGCACACTTGTGGTGTTCGCTCGAGCCATAGCTGGATTTGTAAGCGAATTTTAAATCAAGGCATTTCTTCCCCGGCAGTGCTCCTGTTTTTCAGAGACAATGCTCCAGCTCCACATGAATCCTCTGGGTCTTTCGTCCTTTTCCTTTGAACACTCTACCAACCACTGGGCCCTCGGCTGCCCCAGACCTCCAGCATGGTCTATGCAAATATCTTAGCAGAAGCTGTCCTCGCCGTACAGCTTGGAGACCAGATGACTCTGAAAGTATCAGTGTTTCTCATGAGAGGCTGAAGCGGTCCCTTGAACGGGCATATGGCGGCAGCAGATGTGGCTGTTTGGAGGTCAGTTTTGAGAGAGTGGCTGAATATGCTTGGGATTCAGTGTTGTGGAAGACACTGTAAAGAAGAAGAAGAAATCTTTACATTTCAAATATTTCATATTTTTTCCTCGGCCAAGTGAAAATACACTGCCTCTTTTCCAAAAAGATTTGACTTTTTTATGGCAAATTCTGTGATTTTATAGAATGGGTTTACAGAAAATAAAATAGACAACTTTTTACAAGTTTTTAGAAGAAAACTAAAAAAAAATAACCAAACATTTAAAAAATACACACATTTACATTTGGGGCCTTCACGCTAGCATTTTTTGTCCCGGGGTTAGTTTGACATGAAAGTATGGTGGGTTTATCTAGTGTGAATGATCCCAGCAAGCACACAATGTCATAAGACATTAATATTAGGTTAGACTAAGGTTATGACGTCAGGTGACCAAAATTCAATGTCTAACCAGCGTCTAAGGACAACTTAAGTTGATATTTGGTTGATTTTAGGTTGTGTTGGAAAGTGACCAAAACCCAACTCTATGCATTAGTTTGAATTAGGCAGTTCAGTTTCTGGGTTCAGTCCGTTACAGTCATGGTGGAAACCCAGACAGGCAGTCAGGCAGCGTATTAAAGAAAGGGAATCAAAGCGCATCAAATAATCTGTAATTTTAAAGGGGAAAAAATAAAAATAGAATAAGTATCTATACTTTTATATTAGACACACATCTGATGCTTGTATTTGCAGCAGCTCCACGTCCACAACTTTACGCATTGGGTTAAATTAGGCTTAACAGTCTCCTTTACAGTACTTCCATTGTTTCTGTTCAGTGGGGGAAACTCAACCAAGCCTTTGATGCCAGACACAGCGACATTCCAAGATGGCTACGCCCTAGGACTAAAATCTATAGTAAAACATGCTGTTTTCTGCTTAATGGTGACATTAAATGAGTTTGTTTAATATATTTTCATTAAAGTGGAATGCAATGTACAAAATAAGGTAAAACTGACTGAGTGCTTCATTTTCCCTTTAACTTGACATACTGCAAACTTGTCTATCAAATCAGATGATTAGAAGGCTGCTTTAGGATCAACAAAGATGTTGATCCAGGAACATTACATTTGGTAAAATCAGGTTTTGAATTCATGCACATAATCATATTCTCCCCTATCTTATGACAAACCTTCACTTTACTTTCAGCTTATATAAATACAACATGCACTAGTTTGTCTACAATCCATCAGGAAACCACTAAACCTTCTTAGCAACTTAAAACACGTTATATTTATTTAGATGCATTTATCCTAATGCTGAGCAGGCCTTACACTAAAAATAAAGCAAAATATTAAGTAATCATGCAGCAAAGACAATGTAAATTACTGGCCTTCATAACGCCTTGATTAATGCATTTGTTATATTAAAAGCTTTCTTGTAAAACTCCCACCTTGCATTTTACTTTTTCTACAAGGAGGCAATTAACTGTTGAACTGTTTCTAATCTATGTATCTGATGACTCACAACGGAGCCAATTTCTCATCATTTTAACACAATAAATGACTCACCTTAACAACACAGATTTTTCCCCAACACAGTTAAAGGGATAGTTACCCAAGTATGATAGTTTGCACTTTGCAGTTAAAGAGATAGTTCACACCAAAAAGGAAATTTACTTACTATCAAGTGCTTTCAAACCTTTATGAAGATTCTCTATCCTGTTGGACCCCCCAGGAGGTAAAATTTTTCGCAGTTTTGGCCCTTCGCAAATTACCTGTGCACGCTTTTTGAGATCTCCCTCGCAAGAGCCATTTGTGTCTTCTGTTCTCACATAAATCCACCAGAGGTCTCTGTCGACTCACCCACCTCTGTCGACTTGACCCTCACCTTCCCTAAACCCAACCGATAGTGTTTTCAAAAGCACAGATTGACCAGTTGTTGAGGTCAACTTCTTTCTGCGTCTCAAGTCAGTCAACGTATATGGCGAGCTAATTGGACAAACTGGTAACAGCAGGAAAGCCGTTCATATGGAGGTAAGCGTGAAAGGGAACGGCATCATACCACCTTGTAGCGTTTGTTTTAAAGATGAAATGCAGTTATACGTACTTGTTGCTACATCATTCGTGATCTCCAGAAATGTATACTGTATAGGGGCTACGTTTTCAGAATGAGCCTATGTTGCTTCCATAGTAGGAAAAACAAATACGATGGAAGTCAATGGTTACATGCTTCCAATCTTTTTCAAAGTATCTTTTTTTGTGTTTGACAGAAAAAAAAATCTTATGAAGGTTTGAAGCAAGTAAAGGGTGAGTAAATGATGACAGAATTGTAATTTTTGGATAACATATACCTTTAAGTTACTCTTGGACCGTTAATGATTTTGAAGAACAAAGTACACACAAATGAGGGATACACTTAACACGATGAGTCTTAGTACTGAAAAATGTCAGCCATTGTTAGAAAAATAAAAGCTAAAATAATAATTAATACATTTTTGGGGTATGAAAAAAAAGATTAAAAGACAATTTTAGTGATTCATATAATGATTTCACACTTAGCTGATGATTGATAATAAAGCTTGTTTGGCATGCTGTTTCAGGAGAGAGCCCTGATCTCATAAGATCCTCGAGCCTTGTGCTCCCTCCTAATAGCAGGGCGAGAGTGGAGTTTGAGGTCAGGTAGATTTCGATGAACTTCCCGGAATTATTTCTGGCTAATGACAGATAAAGGGATGGATAAAGAGAGATATACAGCTCACAAAGAGTTCAACTATGATGCCAATTTAAAATGATTAATTTACTTAGGTCGGATGTGTTTTTGGACTGCGGAAGGAAACCGCGGAATCCGGAAAACTCAGAAATGTGAGACAATCACTGGGCCACCTTGTCGCCCAATCTAGAAAGAAGGGGGAGCAGGAGTGGGAGAGGGAATTCTTCAAGACGAAGATACAGAGTTAAGAAACTCTGGTTATTTAGGAATCATCTGATTGGTAAATCATGTGTTAGCTAATGTGGGACCAGCCGTGGACAATCATGAGCATGTGATCTTCTTGAATCTATAAATAAACTTTACTTAGAGTGAAGAAAAACACATACAGCAAAACTAAATTAACCCATTGCTTTGAAGCTGAACATTATTCCCATTATTATCCTCTCCATGTATAAGATCTGATATACAGTAAGTGAAGATTGACTTCTCATATTCCCAGCGCTTGATATACATTATTATGCAGCAGTAAGCTTGCACTCCAAACTGCATTAAATAGCAAAAAAGAAATGCTCATTTTGGGGCAAACCACCCTTTTAACGCATTGCAGATAATGGCTAATCTTCTAAAGTAAAGTCTAGGAGCGGAAAACAATTCACTGGTGAACAGTTACATTTATTTGGCCATCTGCACAGGTTGTCAGAGTTCGCTCACGAGGCATCTGTTCAGCTTTTGGGAAACTTCTCTCACTCAGCTAACCTACGGGTAATGCATAAATGATTCTGAGTATGTCACATGTGACATCCATCAGCACTTGTGTAAGAGACTTTCAGCACTAAGCGCTGCTCGAGATGCGGCTAATTAAAATTTTTGTGATAAAATAATTAGCCTCACTTGCAGACAATGGGCTGGAAAATTCCTCTTCCTAATAATTAAAAGAAGAAGATAAGAAAGTGGGAAATATTCTTTGTGGAGCGTGTGGCTGCAATCCATTGCAAAGCATGCCGGGTACAATGATGAGCATGTTTGACAATTGTTTTGTAACAATATGCGTCACTGAGAAAAGTGTAAATGCATCAATAACAGCAGCAGATAATTCTCAAAAATTATCAGAATGATCAAAGCAGAGGCTCTTACAATTGTATTCATGTTTATAATCATTTTAAATGCACTATGGATTGCCTGAAAAGGTGAAACCTCTGCTCTCTTTCTCTCTCAAATAAACAAAATAGTCTGATGAGAACAAAAGCAGGTTTCCTATTCAACAAAATCTCTTCTTTGTTATGAAACAAATGACATTTCGTCTAACCTGATGCTCAATTATCATAGGAAAAGAGCTCAGTAGGGTTTCTCCAGCAAAACTTTGCAGCAAGACCTGACAAATATGCTGTAGAAAGCAAAAATCAATAGGAAATACGAATGCACATCAAAAATGACAGTTGTGAAAATATTACTCTCACACATTACAATACAATATTGTTAAACAAAAAGAGTAGCGTTTAGCATCAGCCTTCTTAAAATGCCAGTTTGGGAAGCGTTCAAATCGGAGAAGGATCCAACACCCACTCAACGTCTCTGCGTGTTTCCATGCTGTGAAATTTTATGACCCATGCAAGCCGTCTTAGAATGATGTACTATCTGCCAAAGATGGTCATGATCTAATGCAAAATCTTCCTTTAATGATCCAGCACCTTATATACTGTCGACTGTTGACATATTATTGTATTTAGGCTGCATAAAGCTTCGTTCTTTCTTACAGTGCAATATAATTTTCTCTTGTATTGTATTGCCTAAATCTATCAAGACTAGGAAAATGGGGGGAAACCGAATGTTATGATAAGACCGTGCTTATTGCCGAAGCTCTGATAACTACTTGTGGATTATTCTTCCGCTATTGAAGGGAAGCATTGTTGCAATCACATCAGTTAACACCGAAATTTGAGACATAACACAAAGAAATCACGTAGGATAAAAGCAAAAGGCTTTCTCATTATTCTCATTCTTGAAATCCTTGGAGAACTTCTCTGTTCTTTTAATCTCCTGAAGTCTGAATGAAGGAAAAAAGTTTACTTATTTAATTTTTAGAAAGTACTTCATATATAGAAAAAAGACCATGCACTCAGGCTCTATCTTCATAAGCAAAAAGACAATTCCCAGCAAGAAATGTGTTTCAAGTCATTAAAGTCGACTGCTTAAACATTAGTGGACAATTTAGCCGTGCGGTTTAGTTCACTATATCAATCTAGTTAATGAAAATTAAACAGTGTGATCCAGGAAATCACATTTGTAACAACAAACTTTTTATAAAAATAAAAAAATAGAATGTGTGAACATTAAAGGTGCAGTATGTACAATATCCAGTGGTTGAATTAGGT